CGTGGCCCGTCCAGGAGAGTGTCGCCGCATTGGACACGCCACGAAGTTGCATAGCTTCAAAAGTCACAACACTCACGAGGATCCCCGGTTCGGGGGGCCCATCCCTGTGACTGTTGGCACTTTTGAGACAAAAGTGCGACCCTTACGAGGATTTCGGGTTTTACCATGGGGGGGGGGGGATACCATGGGGGGGGTGGGGTACCGACACGCGACACGAGACCATATATATCTGTGTGTGTGTGTGTGTAACTGTACATATACCCACATACATACATAAATACGTCCCTCAAGCCGAGCGGGTCCTTGATGTCTGCCAGCTCTGCCAAGGGGACCCGGAGCGGGATCACTGCTTCCTGGACCCCGCCTCAGATCTCACCAAGTCCTGCAACTTCGCAGCACAACATGAGGCCCGCGCCCTCCTCCCGCGCCTGTTAGAAAGGCCGCACAACATCAAGCCCGGTTTGCGTGGCAAGGGAATGCACGGAAGCCGATAGCAGACCCAGAAGGCAGGAAAACTGCGCCTGCGCGACTCTCCTCACGACCTCGCGCGCAAAGACCGACTTTCCTGTACCTTTGTCGGGCACTGCGCAGGCAACGGCGCGCCAAGGACTGCCCGATGTGAGAGCGTCTGTGAGGTGCCTCCTTGCCCAACGACGAGAATGCGCGGCAGCTTGCCCTGCAGCAGTGAAGCCCGCAGTCTTTCAACCCGCCTGCTGGAGACATACCTCCCGTGTTTCGGGCCTGCATGCGGTCGCTGATGATGTTGGACGACTTTCGGACCTCAGCTGACACTGCGAGATGATGTTCGGGCTCGCGCATTCCACAAGAGTGCCACAGGAGCTTGGGCCTGCAAAATTTCGGACATCCGCATCTCAACGTCTTCTGCTGACACCTCTTCGCCTGCAGGCTGCTACAAGAGCAGAACGCCCCTCAATCTTGGGAGTGCACTCCGTAATCATAGCAAGAAAGGTCACACCTGTGAGGGCATTCCGTGAGATGGCCAGGCTCGCGGAAAACTCCACCAGGTTCGTAATCTTGCGAAAGCCGCGAGGAGGGGCCGGGGCACGGGGTCTGAGATCTGTGAGCTCACTGCGACAGGGCACCCTGCCTGAAGTTGGATCATGCCAGCGATCTGGGCCCACGTGGTCCCGCTCGTCTTCACGGCCTTTTCGATCATCAGTTGGTCCTAAAACGCAGACGCAACTACTACGTATCTTGCTTGGTGCATGTGGGGCGGACGGGGTGGAGCTCGCACCATGACTTGCGCATGTTGCTCCCTTTGCCGACGTTGATCAGCCGAGAATCCGTCTTCTCGGAGCACTTGGTGTTGGACATGTCCAGGACCTTCACCTGCTCGCGGATCTTGCAGGCGAGGGGAGTGCTGGATCTGCGTGTCAGCTGCCCCTCCACGGAGAACCTGCAGCGCGAAAAAACTGCACGATGACGGTGCATCTCAGAGGCCCAAAGTCCAGGTGGGACGAGACATGACGAGACAACGCGCGACTGAGGCGCAGGTCCAGCCGAAGTTCCAACTTGCAGCAGCGCCAGATCTCAAAAATGCACCAAATTCGCCTCAAGGATGGAAAGGTGCATGTCCAACTTGCAAAACGCTCTACTCCGCCGTGCCACTCCAGCGTGCTGCACCTCTCGTCGAACCTCGGCCGGGCACGAGGGCGCTGAAGGCCGACAAAGACATTCGCAGAGAACACGCTCCGCCGAGACCGGCGCAGCATCACCGCGCAATACACGGAATCCTGCTTCACGTGCCGGCCTCACGATTGAAGTCAGAAGAGAAAGACAGGATCTGGACCCACTCCACGCCGAAGCTCGCAGATTCCAGCAACTCAGGGAGGAGCAATTTGCGACATATTCCAGGGCCCGATTAAAAGGTGAGACTTGCCAATCTGTTCCAAGATCCTGCAGAGGCCAAGGGACTGCAGACGGCAGGCTGTTGGACTGTGTAGGGAGCCGGCGACGCGGTGTTGGCAGTTCGAGAACCTCAGCTGTCGCATAGAGCTCGTATTCCTAAAGATGAGCCTTGGAAGCTGCCTTCGGCCGGACGCCGTTCTGCCAAGCAACGAGCAGATGTAGTAGCACATGGCTCCTGGCGCTGATGCTTACAGGATTTTTGCTTCCCAATTGGTCGAAGCAACACCGTGCGACCGAGGATTCTGGGTGTCCTGGATTTCCTGGGTGCACCGTCTCACCATGCAGTCTCAAGGACTCCGCGAAGGTCAGAGTGTCCTGCGGAGAGTTGGAGCCAAGGCCAAAGCTCTCTCTGATCGTCTTCCTGCTTCAGGGTTCAGAGTTTAGGGTTTTTTAAGGGCTTGTTCTGCAGTCCTCTCCCCAAAAATGTGAGACGAACGAGCAAAGAGGGCCAAACTCGCCTTGCTGAACGACATCGACGAAGGCCACCTGGCTCAAGTTCTTGCTGCCGCTGGGCCGCAAACTTCGCAGGTTTAGACGTAGTTTAGACTTGGCCAGGTGCGATCAAGGTGCGCCAGTGCGCAGGACCACAACCGTCCCCGGCTTCTTCAGCAGCTCCTTCTGTCGGCGGGCGTTCAGCTCGCCGAGCTGCTTCCCGAGCAGCTTTTCGGGGATCACATCCTGCAAATGGCCAAGGCCACCGTTGATGCCATCGCCAAACGCTTGCATGACTGCTGAGGCTCCATGTTGCCGAGGGTCCTGAGACAGCCGGCGTCCGTGCCTGCCCGTGGTGCGCCACCGTTCCTGACGCTCCTGACAGAAGTCGTCCCATCTGCCTCCCCGACACCTCTGTACCTGCGACTTGCCCTCGCAGGTAATGCCGGGTAATGCGGGTTGCCCACGTGCATCAGCCGAGCAGCGCTGCCACGGCTCCAGTAATCCCTGCGCTGTGGGCCTTCCTCGCCTCGAGTCTCGCAAATCGACACAGTTGCTGACACAAATGCTTCGCAGACTTTCGCATCCGTTGCTTTGGGAACTCCGACCATGCGACATGTCTGAGCAAGCGGCCAAGGATTCCCTGGATCACCAGGTTCTCCTGACTTCCAACACTCGTATTGGCACCCGATGACGAGAAGGGAAGACATACCGCAAAGGTGTCATCAAAAACGTCGCATGAGACAGTCGAGCCGAGCTTCCACCGGGACCCCTCCGAGTTTGGCTCCCTCCCGACATTGGAGGGAGCCCTTGACAAAGACGCCGTGAGACTTTTCGTCGTCACTACCGGCGAGGGATTGCGTGATCTTCTCGGCATCCTCCGCCGTCAGCTCTATGATTCGCTCGTCGCCTCACGAGGTTAGAGTTAGAGCGGCAGAGACGGAGACGGAGTGGGTCTTTGCAGTGGCCAAGCCCTCCCGTAATGAACAACAAGCTGCACGTTGTGGCCACCTCGGCTCAAAGTCAAAACTGCTCAGCGCCAGATGACGAAGGCAACTCCACGCTCCGGGTGCCCGGGGATCGTGCGATGATGAGCTCAGGAGTGACGTCGTACATGTTCTTCCGGCCCGTTCCTCGGGCCGTGGGGCCTTGAAGCCACTCCTTGTGGTCCTTGCGGCAGAAAGCGTGTACGGCAGGGCTGAGCACACTTTCGGCCAACAGCTCCTCCACGAGGCGCAACAAATCATCCAAGCGAAGGCCTCTCGGCACCTGCTTGCATGTTTTGGCCAACCGCAGCACATTCGTGTGGCATCGCACACAAACGGAAGGCATTCCTTTCCTGTAGAGTGCTGGCCTGGTCGATTGGCACCCCCACCTGGGTTCTCGGTCGCAGTCTGCTTTGGACGCCAGCTGCCGGAGTCCTCTGGAGACTGTCTCTCTGCTCCTGCCGGGCGTTGGCCAGGCTGAATTCGAGAAAAGCCTTCTCACTCGTAGCACACCCCCTAACCAAGTTGCGAATGGTATTAGGAACGAAAGGATCCGTGGGCTTCTGTGCTTTTCGGGGGGTGGAATCCCGCGCGTCTGCGAATCTCAATCTGCGAACGGTCCTGCAGAGCCGTCTCGCAGAGCTCCCTCTGTTCCTGCAAAGCCATCGCTGCCGGCACAGACACAGACTTCCTGGAAGGTGGCCCCCGGTTTCGACATCACCGGGAAAGCCAACAGCACCGCCCCCCCTTCTCACCCTTTCAGTCTGATGTCTGCCCTAGAAAGCTTCTGTGCATGTATCACGGCAAGCATGAGCACGGCACCGTGACAGACGACCATAACGCACTGCTAGGTCCTCCAGCGCTTGCTGGCATCAAGCTTTCTGATCCTGCAAAGCTTGGAGCATAGAAACACAGTATCATGCGAAAGAACTGGTGGGTGGCGAGTGAAGCATCCTTCCCGCAAAGACTGAGGAGCCGGTTGAGACCGTCCTCGAGCTCCTTCCGGTGCAAACTCTGCTGCTCCTGGCTCAGGCCGCTGGGGCTGATAGGAGATGATAGGAGGCCTGGTCTAGTCTCGGCTGACTTTACCTCGCCGTGAAAGCTTTTACTGCCGAAAAGCCCCGTCACTCGTAGCTAACCCCCTTGACCAAGTTGCGAATGGCATTAGGAACGCAAGGATCTTGGGGCTTCTGTGCATTTCGGGTGAAGGAATCCCGCGCATCTGCGAATCTCAATCCCCCACGGTTTCGACATCACCGGGAGAGCCAACAGCACCGCCCCCCCCCTTCTCACCCTTTCAGTCTGATGTCTGCCCTAGAAAGCTACTCTGTATCACGGCAAGCATGGGTACGGCACCGTGACAGACGACATAACGCACTGCTAGGTCCTCCAGCGCTTGCTGGCAGGAAGCTTTCTGATCCTGCAAAGCTTGGAGCATGGAGGAAGACGCAGAAACATTGTATCATGCGAAAGAACTGGCGGGTGGTGAGTGAAGCATCCGTCCCGCAAAGACTGAGGAGCCGGTTGAGACCGTCCTCGAGCTCCTTCCGGTGCAAACTCTGCTGCTCCTGGCTCAGGCCGCTGGGGCTGATAGGAGATGATAGGAGGCCTGGTCTAGTCTCGGCTGACTTTACCTCGCCGTGAAAGCTTTTACTGCCGAAAAGCCCCGTCACTCGTAGCTAACCCCCTTGACCAAGTTGCGAATGGCATTAGGAATGCAAGGATCTTGGGGCTTCCGTGCATTTCGGGTGAGGGAATCCCGCGTGTCTGCGAATCTCAATCCCCCCCAGTTTCGACATCACCGGGAGAGCCAACAGCACCGCCCCCCCTTCTCACCCTTTCAGTCTGATGTCTGCCCTAGAAGGCTACTCTGTATCACGGCAAGCATGGGTACGGCACCGTGACAGACGACATTAACGCACTGCTAGGTCCTCCAGCGCTTGCTGGCATCAAGCTTTCTGATCCTGCAAAGCTTGGAGCATGGAGGAAGACGCAGAAACACAGTATCATGCGAAAAAAAACTGGTGGGTGGCGAGTGAAGCATCCTTCCCGCAAAGACTCAGGAGCCGGTTGAGACCGTCCTCGAGCTCCTTCCGGTGCAAACTCTGCTGCTCCTGGCTCAGGCCGCTGGGGCTGATAGGAGGCCTGGTCTAGTCTCGGCTGACTTTACCTCGCCGTGAAAGCTTTTACTGCCGAAAAGCCCCGTCACTCGTAGCTAACCCCCTTGACCAAGTTGCGAATGGCATTAGGAACGCAAGGATCTTGGGGCTTCTGTGCATTTCGGGTGAAGGAATCCCGCGCATCTGCGAATCTCAATCCCCCACGGTTTCGACATCACCGGGAGAGCCAACAGCACCGCCCCCCTTCTCACCCTTTCAGTCTGATGTCTGCCCTAGAAAGCTTCTGTGCTCGCACTTTTCGGCAGGCAGCAGGTAGCACTTCGACTTTTTTGCTAGCTTCAAGAACCCTCGCAGCCACTCGCAAGACCAGCTACCGAGAAGTCCACAGCGTTTCCGATACATCCGAAACTCTCGATAGAAGAACCTTACCAACTTGCTGATCCACCTAGGACCTGGGAGACCCAGCAGGTTTGCAAGGAAGCTCCGTCCTGCAGACGGGACCGTAGCTCCGTGTCCTGCAAGGTCTCTCGCAGGTCCTCCTGCACCTTCGCGGGTCGGGCAGTTGGGGCACGGCCGCTTTTTTGGGAAGCTCCAGCCACGGTGCCTCCACAAGAGCTCTAACTTGCCGCAGTTGAGCGGCACTCGGGGCCTGCAGCGCGAAGCCACAGCTGTTTCAACACCGGGGTTGAGTGGGTAGTCGGACAGTCAGCGATGTAAAAAACAGCTGCCGGCAGCGCAGCACGCCTGCTCCGAGGGTGCCGTGAGATGGTCCAACTTCTTCAGGCACACGTCGCCCAGGATCCTCCTACTCGCCTGCCGCGGCAGAGAGTTGGGCCCTTTGCTGGTAAACGACGCTATTCGCTGGGGTTGCAAGAGTTCAGGACGCACGAGGTATCGCTGCCAGGGCTAACCTGCCTGCATCATGTCTTCGACGAGGCACGCCTCTCGCAACGGGGAGCTGACTGCAATGCCCCCAACGCAAAACATGCCTTGAGGTTCTGAGCAAGTGTCACCAACTCAGTTCAGGACAGTTCAGGCGTTGACTTCCATTTGGAGAAACACACCAACAAAGAGTTCCAAGGCTACGTCCTCCCAAGTCTCAAAACCTGGCCCAAAGCAATCCAACCCAAACCACTCTTATGATGCCAACAACTGAAACTGGGCTGCAGCCCCGACACAAAACAAACACGCGGCCCCCCCTTTCCTCGCTTGCAACCTGGCCTGAGCTCTGAGACCCGACAAGTCTCTGGAGGTCGCTGCCAGGTCGCCTTCGTATCCGCGACTCTCGGTCTTGTGGGCTTTAAAAATTCGGGTCTTCAAACCGGGAAAGGGCTAAGGCTCGGCTCGAAAACATGACAGAGGGCCTCTCAGCAAGTAGGGCCACCAGCTGTGACATGCGTAGCGCGAGTGAAGCTCAGATCTGAAAGAGAAGCGGTCTTCACTGGCGCACATTCCCTGCTCTCAGAGAACTGCAGCTCTCGCACAGGCCATACTCTGAGCGGGTTGGGCGAGTGTGGAGCGTTAGGAGGGAGAGAAACACCCGCTTCGTAGGCGAGGCCGGAGAACGGAGAGAAATTTGCACGGAAGCCTACTTTTGGAAGAACTTCCGAGCGACTGCAAGGAAGGGGAATTAAAAAACCTTCCGAGTTCTTCGAGCTCTGGACCTTCGGAGTTTCCGGGGCCCTTCGGCCGCTTCGGGGTTTAGGGTTTGGTGCTGCCTTGGTATGGGAGTACAAGTGTAAGGGCTTTTTGGGCGAGGAGACTTCGAGAGGGGAGCTCTCGTTCGCTGCCTTTTCTCTCGCGTCTTTGGCTTCGATTGCGCCTCGGAGCTTTTCGGCCGCCCTCCGGAAAAGGTTCCTCTCTACGCGAAACGCATTCCAGCCTCGCCGTCGGCGTGGCATGGCAAAACGCCCTCTTCGTTTTCATCCGTTTCTTCCTCTGCCTTTCCTTATTTGAAATTTCTGTTCTTCTATCTTCTTCCTTCAGGTTAAAGGGGCGGGTCAGGCCCCCCGGCCCATAGAGCCCCCCACCGCTTCTTTTCTCTCTCTCGCTCTCTCTCTCTCTCTCTCTCTCTCTATCTCTTTCTCTCCAGCTTCCTCTCGCAAGCAGCTCTCTTTCTGCAGACGACTAGTGACTAGGACAGAATTCCGACTGCAGAGAGCCAGCGGGGCCTCGGAGGCGATGCTCCGCGGGGCGCCTTTGAGGGACTCTGTGGGCTGTTGCTGAGCAACTAATAATATTTTGCTGGTAATAGTAACAATGACAATAACAACAAGAATAACCAACAAGAATCATGACAGTCATAATCATCATACTGATATATTAGTCATATTGCTCGTAAACATGATAGGAGAACGGAGCCGGTGGAGACAGGGTCTGCGCTATAAAGGCTTCTTTGAATATATCGGACAAGAAATCCTGAAACCGCATGGCTAAGAAAGCGCCTGATCCGAACGGTTGCATTGGTGCTACTGTTGTTAGTATTACCATGAAATGTTGTTATTACTATCACGTGCCGTCCCGAAGCACACAGAAGCATTCCAAGATCTGCGGATAAGGGGGGAGGGGTTGTCGCAAAGGGCGGTTTTGTGCATCGACTCCTCATCAAGGCTCGTCTGAGAGTCGCGCGAGGGAAGTGACAGCCGCCCGGATGCAGGAGCCTCACGTGCGTGTGGCAAATCGCTTAGAAACAGATGCTGTTTTGATCGAACGAATCCTTGCACCATGTAGGTGAACCCGCATTTGTGCATACGTGCCGAGGCCGGTACGGCTTCCTCAGGAAGCTCCGGCATTCCAGGCAAGCTGTCCTCTCAGGTACCGCTCTCAGGTACCACTGCGAGTGACCAGCCGAGTAATGGCTTGTGAGGCACAACGGAAGCAATGACTTAAACTAAAAGATGCAAGTGCCGGGGCCTGCCCCGGTGACCGCGCCATGCTTGCTCGGGGGTGGCTTCAAAATTAAATCAAATGCACGTTGATGACCCATCCTACTGATCAAAACTGGATGTATAACTGGACGCCAGAAAACCGCCGGAGTGGTTGCTGGCATGCCAGACGGGTTCTCCACAGAGACACAAATGGCACACCCCGAGCCTTGAGAGGTCACGCAATGGGATAGTTTCGCGAAACAACGACTGTTGTGCCGAATTTTTCTGCGCAGGCTTGCCTGGTTGGATTTGCTGGGAAGTCCCCAAAGCCCATGAAATATGTCGTAGAGTCCGTCGGCGACAACTATACAGGATTCTCAGTGAAAGGCTCTCTGTCTGCGAATGCGGTTGATCTACAAAAGAAGCCCCAGAGCGGTAAGCAAGATGCAGCAAAAGCGGCCTCTGTTGACGGGTATGTCGAATCTGTCGAACCCTGGCTCTAGAACTTGAGGAGCTGCATGTTTTGGGACAGAGCATCATGTTCAAGGGAAGAGATGGTACTTGAAAAAGGTATGATGCGAGGCTCTCGCTGGGCCTGTGTGAGGCTCAGGGAAGCGCAAAGAGGCTCGAGGAGGCATCCCAAAGCCCAAGACTCCTTTCTTTTCCTTGTTTTCGAGAGCTCGGTCATGGCAAGTGCCGCACTCAGATTGTCGCCTGGCTGCCGCTGCTCTTCCCCCAGCACCCGCAGTTGGCTTTACGACCTACGAAATTGCTTGACTCAATGCGCATTCTAAACGTCCTGCGTCGCCTCCATAGGCCTTCCAACCCCGAGCGCCGACTCGGCACAACTGATCTGAAAATTGTTTTCACATCATCCAGCGAGGGCACAGTCAGCAAACGAGGCCTCCAAAGTCAGCTGATCTTCGCATTTTTGCTGGGGCAGGTCAACACCCGTGGACAGCCCGTGGACTGCTTCAAGATTCCTTTCAGTGGTGGCAGTGGCTGGTGTGGCAGAGCCGCGCGTGGTTGGCTCTTGGAAGCGTGCACGCGTTCTTCCAAATATACCGGCGTCATAGCGCCGCAGCTCGCTCAGCTGGCTCTGTGCAAGGCTTACAATTGCCGAATCCGGTGTGCCGTGTGACGCAAACATCAACATGAAATGTGCTGGCGAGCTTGCTGCATCGCACCTCGACTCCTTGTAAGTGTGCCCACATGTACCTGTTGCACACGTACTTGCTAACCCAATACTTCTTGCAGAATTTGACTGCACTGACACTGTGGTGCATCTTTCCTATGGGACCCCTCCACGTGGTGTCAGGAGACAAGGAGTGTCGAGAACGTGTGGGCGAGTCTTACCGAGACAACGGTTGGCCCTCAAGCGACTTCACCAAGATGCCCGTCAGCATGGGACATCGCAAAACACTCCGGAAAGGCAGGCATCGTGCAGCTGGGGCAGAGTGTTGTGCCACTGCATGCCGGTAGACTGAGCTGAGCACCCGACGCATGATGGTGCTCCTCTGAGACCCAGGCGCCCATCTCTGAACCCCAAGAACCCTACATCCTAAGCCTCGAACCCGAATCCGAAAACATCCTGAGGGCTAAAGCCCCTAAAGACCATGGCCTACAGCCTCCAGCCCTCAGTGCTTCCCGGGCATGCTCTTTCGAGGATCCAAAACTGAAGCATTAAGTAGAATAGGGTTTTTGCGGGGTTCTTGATTACAACTAAAGTATCATATACCCCAAACCCTATTCTAACATTCGTGACTGCACGCATCGATGTTCGGAACTTCCGGCTGCACAGTTCCGGGTCAGAAGGGCAAGAAACCACCCTTTAACTTTATATAGTTCCTTGCAGAATGCCTTGAGCCTGCAAAGCACAAGAAATCCCTTCCGAGACTTAGAGGGTTCAGGGTTTGGGGCTTAGGGTTCGGGGTTTGAGTTTGCTACGTTTCTTGCAAAGGTTTTGTATTAAAGCTTTGTGTTCAGAGTTCAGGGCTCAGGGCCCCCTCACAGCGCTCGACTATTCCCTGCCCGGCACAGGGCCTTCAAGAGCTGCGGGTTCCTGGCAGGGAAACGATCGCGACTAATTAGTATCTGTTGTTCTCATAGTCTTGTCGCTTGACACTAAACTATTGCTGCATTCCACATCCACATAGCATCGCAAATTTTCTGCAAGACGCCTTAGTCCAGCCTCCGATGGGTTTTCGATTCGAGGTTGAAGGTTCAAGCTGCACGGCTCATGGACTCGAGCTTGGGCTTTTCGGATGGGCTTCGGGTTCTGGGTTCGGTCCGTGCCTAGCCCCTAAACTTCGCCTCAGAGTCTGGAAACCTTGAACGACCTTCGCGTAAGATCATAGTGGAGGTGTACTGCAAATTCTGATGGCTCCGCTGTAAATTCTGTAAATCCCAGAGGCGAAACAGCCATAACTTGTTTTCCCCCGAAAACTCTGAGACGCGAACCCCTGCACCTAAACCGTTGAGGCCTAAACTTTCAGCAGCAGCCATGTTAAGAAGCCCACCGAAAGTGCACCGGCCTGCGCGCAAGCATGACCTTGACCATGTGCAGCCACAATGGACCATTGCCCACCATGAAGCAATCCGGCATCGTTTTGAACAATCCGACAAATTCTCATCTTAACTTACGCCCGGCGGCAAATGACACGATTTCCTGGCCCTGCCCGCAACCGGCAATTGAGAGTTGATTCTGCAGAGTATGAATAGTCGATGGATCTAATCCGATATTTGCCATACGTTCATAAGATTCAAAGCACATACAGTTGAAACAACCATTGGCATTAATGTGGTGCATTGGATCTTCATGGGCTTGTGAAAAGGTCAACAAAATTCCATCAAGCATTCACACCCCCGCTCCAACATCGATGCAAGCCACTTGTTTCACCATTGAGTTCAAGCTGATGCTTAAACGAGATTAGATTCGCGTGAAAC